GCTCTACTGCCGGTTGTGATCAGTGACAAAAGCACCCAAAAGGTGAAAGCAGGTACAACGAGTAAAGCAAGCAAGTTTGCAGACTTCTGAAGACGATCCACCATTAGTGCCCTGCATCGGAGTGAGAAACGTCGTCCACTCCTACCCACATTTAATTTTTTACTGAACCCAATCCCACCCGAATTTTTGAAATGCCACCCGATCCGAATATATTTTTTACTTATCCGAACCCACTCCGATCCACTCCGAAAGTTTATTAGCTAAATTCAGAAAGACTGATCTAAAACATCAGCCGACGCATTGTTATAGTAACTTTTCAAAAATAACAAATCATCAACCTTTTCCGGCTTCAGACTATTACGCCGATCATCAATCACAAATCCAGCCAGACTAAACGTGCGCTCACAAGCAGTACTAGTCGCCGGTACCGGCAGAACTTGCTTGGCCAACTTCGCCAGCCGCGGTAGCTCCCCTTCTTTGTCCTTCCAAAATTTAAGTAGCCATCCTTGATCCTCATCAGCTGATTTAGGCGGCACAGATGTCTTAAGGTAGGAACCAACTTCGTCGTTATCCTGATCAATGGCCAGATCGTCTTCGAAGTCTGCAAACTTGCTTGCTTTACTCGTTGTACCTGCTTTCACCTTTTGGGTGCTTTTGTCACTGATCACAACCGGCAGTAGAGCACGTACCCGGGCAAGCACGGCCTTTTTCTCAGATTCGGTCAACATTTTCAGCGTTCTCATCCGGGGATTAAGAAACGTAGCAATGTTATGAATGTCCAGTATCACGAATTTTTCTCGCAAATAACGCAGCATCATCTTACGCAAGGCAGATATAGCCGGAGCTTCATCACCTCCGCCGGCCGCCGAATAAATGCCTTCCAACATTTTGCGCCATGGAAGTACCAAATGTAACGTTGGAGTTTTGCTTGCAGACAACTCTTCAGTAGCTTGTTTTACCGGCCGCAAGAGCTCAACTAATTGCTCCAAAAATTCACGTGGCTCAGGTAACATCTCGTGTTCCTTTCGTTCGACCAACAGGACCTGTAATGAACATAATTATAATGGGTGCACACTGTACAGTACAAAATAAACAGTGCCATTTCGGAATCACTGTCTCTTTACAAGTTATTATTGTGTAATGTGTACTGTATAGTATAAGTATACAAGTACATATAATGAAAATAAATGCAATTATTTCATATAATTAAAAAGAGTTAAGAAACAAGTCGCTCAGAACTGAGGCTTTGTTTTTAGTTCTTAATTTATATGTACTTGTATACTTCTTATAATCATTATAGTTTATTTCCTTATACTAGTCTGTCATATGTACTGTACTAGAGCAACTATGCAGTATGCACACTTGTTTACTTACAGGTGCTGTATAAAAGTAGGGTAATAATTAAAGTACACACTACACACAGTACACAGGTCCAGTGTCATTTGTGGTTTTGTACCTGAATGTCATCGTATACAGACAGCAGTGAATCCAGCATGTCAATTACAGTGTTCCACCGCGTGTCCACCTCCTGTTTCACCTTTCGGGGCAACATGTGTTGTAGTGTTGTTGCCTTGATATGTCGAACAAGAGCCTTAGACATCTGTAACACCTCGTTGACCATCTGGTGCTCTTCCGGCATATTCTTAACAGCATTCTTGGACACACGATTGAGTAAGTGCCCAGCGCACAAAATTCTGGAGAGAGCTTGATAATTGGCCAGTTTCAGTGCAGCTATCATGTTCGCTCCAGCGTCAATGACAAATGTCACTTCGGTGCATTCACTCTCTTTAAGACCCAGCAGCAAAAGTTTTTCCACCAGAAACTTTCTCACATTGACAGCCGTTTTCTTAACCGAAGGATCGTAGCATGAAACAAATACGACACAGTCCATCAGCTTCCAGTCAAAAAGATAGTGAGCTGTCATGCCCATATAATGCACGCTGTTGCACGGATCCGTCCAGAAATCGAAAGCAACAGCGCCACCATCAGTACGCAGGATATCAGCAATTTTGGGAAATAAATCGGCCCTCAGTTTTTTGGCTGTGCTTTCGACATTTCGGCTCACAGTTGTCGGATGGGGAAGCAGCTCAACTGCTGAAACAGGTCCATATTGGTGGCCAATATTGATGGCTACTTGAACCAGACGCATAAATCCATTTCCCTTCACAGACTCAAACGATCGCATGTCCTGCAGTTTAGCGTTAAATTCGTTAGGAAATTGACTAGTGTAAAAAAAATAAAAGTAATAACGCCATGAATCACGTAATAAATTAAAAAATTAAAACGTTAACGATTGCTGAAGTGATATCAGATGTGCAGTTAGCAAAAATCTGCCGTGCCTCGTAAAGCATTACTGCAATAAAACAGTCAAGCAATTTTAAATGTTTAACTTACCTCTGCTACAAAGCGAACACAGCTCTCCGTGATCAGAGTTTTGGCAGTAATGGAAACAGCGGGAGGCTTTTCGCTTTGAGCGTAGGAAGTGATTTTAGGCTGGTTCTTCTGCACAATCGGCCTGCAAGACTCCTTGACATGTCGGGATAAATGAGACGTTCCATTTCCGGACGTGTGCTTGAGAATGTCTTTGCATCCAGTACAGCAGACATATGGAACGATGTCTCCAGATTCAGTTTCGTAAATCTCCATAAAGTTCTCCCATGCCTTTGAACGCTTTCTAGTCTGCCGTTTTGACAGGCTTCCATCGTTCAAACCACTTGATATATCTCCGCGCTTATAAACTTTTGCAGAAAAGAACGCGCAAACGCTTTTACCAGAATCGTTTGTAGATGTCTCTTCATCGCTAGAAATCTCAATCGGTTCTTCCGACATTGTAAACGATGTGGAGTGTAACAATCAAATAAATGTGGGAATTACTGCACTTTCATTATTAACAAAACTGGGAGATTTTTCGGTTTGCAAACTTCGCATTTACTATGCAACTTGCCACTAATAATAGGTAGCTCGTTACGCAGGGCGGGAGCCCGATAAGAAGGCTACGTGCTGTTCGGCCGCCCATGTTCGGCTACTTATTACATAATACATATTGCATTGTGGTACTGCCTAGTGCCTAGTCCTACTGCTAGTCGCTCGTGACTTCATGAAATTCAATAAAAAATGGTTATTAAATATTTATTTAATTTCGGGTAATTCGGATTCATCACCAAATCCGAATCCGGTCCATTCAAACACGTCTAAACTCCGAAACCACTCCTAATCCGAAATTTAAAAATGAAAACCCGTCCAATCCGCTCCGAAAAACGGAGTGGGTTCGGAATGGATCGGATTTCCCAATCCGTTGCAGGGCACTAATGCACACTTCTTACCATCGTACTTTCCTGTGACAACACAGAATATATGGGCTCATCAATCCTTGCCGCTTAACTGCAGCATCGGATTTCCGGATTCTTACCAGCTTGATTTTCGGTACATCGTACTAGTGGAAAATTTGTCAAAACACGAAGATTACCTGGATGAACGTTTCTAATGTGCTCCGAGCAGTTGTTTTTCTGGTTTGCTCGGAAATCGCATACGGGACAAGCGAACGGCCTTTGGTCTGCAAAACAAAAAAAGTCCATTTTCGTCTAGGTTTATCAAAAAAAAACTTTGAGAAATTCGTTGCGTAAATTCTTTAAACGTGCCACTTGTAAAACAAACACAACACATCGTTTGTCACACACAACGTCCAACACAACACCTACCAGGTTCATAGATATGAGTCTTCTTGTGGGTGTCCAGATTCCCCTGCTGGGAGAATTTCTTGCCACATTCCGAGCACTCGAACGGTTGTTCTCCTGTCAGTAAACAGGAAATCATCACGATCACATACACTTCACAGCTATACAATAATAGCGGTATCCGCAAAACAAAACAGAATTCGTCCATACAATGCTACTGCAGTGAATTTACCGTTGTGCTTTTTGCTGCGGTAGTGCGCCTCCAAATTGATTTTCTGATGCTGCCTAAATTCGCATCCATCGAATTTGCACTTGAATTCACCCTGACCTGCAAGTTAGAGACAAAATTACAGATAATGTATACCTTAGTCACAAATTACAGTACTTGTACAACTGTTCTAGGTTTTTGTTTTTGTTTACCTGATGCGTTTTTAATTATTGTATGAAACGATGGCCACTTCATTCCGTTTATTGGATGGCCTAATTTTAGGTGCGGTAATGCGGTTAGATTGCCCATTACCGCACCGACCGTATTCTAGGCACCTTCCGCTGTGGTATTATTGACGAGGAGTCAGATTTCGACCGCCTGCACTAGGCGTCGGCTCCATTGATGTCAAAGGAACCGACAGCTAGTACGGGCGGTCCTGGGGATTTCTCTGTCCCTTAATATCGTGTAAATACAGTACTGTTATTCTTAATAAATTATCTGGTGTGCCTCAATAAACCAGCCTGCCAAACGTATGTTACGTATTTAAGCAGTGTGGCGCGCCGTAAGAGTATAACCGCGCCGTAGCATGAAGTTTGGCGTAACACGCAAATTTCTGTATTTCGCTGTATTGAACGGGTAGAAATTACCGGACAAACTTGTACAACGTTTTATGTTTGCACGTAAACCGTCACACACCGTCCTTGCATACCTCCGTGTGTTTTCTCGTGCTCCAGTAGACCAGCCCGGGAAGCGTAGTCCTTCCGGCACCCTGAAAAAAAAAGTAAAGTAACACCCTCGTACTAATACTAAAGATGAGAGTAACTGCTGTCTTCCATTTTAACCATTTTTGTAACCACGTGCTGCGACTAGGCGAAAACGGATCTACAAGGCAATGTCAAACGTAGGCAGAACTTCCATGATGTGTGATACTGATTGACGTTCAAAAAAAGACTGCACTAAATATGTACACCGCATGCCGCCGAATGTTTACGCAGGCTTTTTTAATTGTAACTACCTTTGAGATTTTAGCTGTAAAATTTACAAAAATTTCCTGCAGACAATTTCAGCATAAGGAAACCTTGCTGTCGTTTTGATATTGACTGATTTATAATATTTCTCCACTAAAACGAAGCAACGAGCCGCTAAAATCGCCCGAAACTCTCACCTTCGATTGTGCAGGGGTATCTTTTTCGGCCTTTCTTCTGCATGAATCTTTTCAGACCTTTCACCTTACGGCTGTCCGCTTTTTTCCGTGCTGGCGCCATGAAGCAGATCCCCTTTGCTGACAAACTGAAAAATAACAGGGTAATGCACCATGACTGCACAGCCGATATATATATATCAACCTTTACTGAGTTCCGTTAGATGTTCTGCTGCAAAATACCCCTATTACAAATTATGGGAAAGGCACGCATAACCTGTTTTTTTTTAAAGTTTTGTAAGCAAAACTCGCACAACAGAAGCATGAATAAGGTAAAAGACCGCTTGTTCTCCTCTACTTCACAATGTCATATGAATCTTTTTTTTTGTATTTTAAAGAAGGAACTATAGAGAATACAGTAAACATATGCGGAAAGGACGATCACAATACCAATTATGCGGGATGCATGGCAAACAACAGTGCTATACACACCAACTGCATACGAACGAGCAAAATTCTAACATAATATCATATCATGATATGTAAACAGATATTCATGCAGGGTTCTTGATGGAGACTAGGCCGTAGCGTCTTTGGGTGGTTTGCGCTTGGTGGTTACGTGCACACCGTTAACGAGAGGCAAATGGACCGAGCACAGAGTAAAGCGAGTTAGTGTTAAAGCGAGAGGGACATGGCTAAGAGAGAGAGAGAGAGAGAGATACAGAGTCAGTCGAAAAGTTATGGGCAGAGAGATCCCAGTGAGTGGGGAACGCACAAGCTGATTTCGATAGGAGTAATATGTAGATTAGCTTTCGCAAACGAAGAAAAAGTTTTTCAAAAACTTATGAAAATGTCAACATTTATCAGGATTCACTATCGAACTATCACCATACCCCAAACATATCATTTCAGTTGAGTTTTGAAAAACAAACTGAATTTTCGAAAAAAAATACGAAATAATAATCAACAGAATTATTACCCAATATTACATTAAGAGACCCATTTTGATCCCTCAGTTTCTATATATCCGAAAGCGTTTCACTCGCAATATAAGCAAAACTGCGACCATTTCCTTAATTCACGACAATGTTTTGGTTTTTCGTATTTATGTACGCATCTTCCGAATATAGTAATTATTATGAAAGAAATTGGAATTTCAACAACCTCCACAATTATATTGATTCACAAATTAATACAAGTACAACGGACTATTATACTCCAGTTAAAAAGAAATTACAGGATACCACACTACATCAACAACTGATTGAATCAACAACTGATTGCACTCGTAATAATCAGCGCGAAACTGGAAGGAAGAGCAAAAAAAAAACATTTTTGCCTGATTTATTTAATTCGATGATTTACTGGTTCTAATTCTTACGACCTGGCCTGCATTAATTTTCATTGTACTAGGAAACCGCCGTGCTTCTTAAGCTTGGCTAATGAAGAAAAACAGGGAAAAGGGAACTATTTTAATTATTTTGCATTATAGAACGGGCTGCAGTCCGGGACCTTCCCTTGGAAGTTGGCTGCGTTGCACACACCAGGGCACATACTCGGGCACATCGAGCTCATTTACCCCACCCCTCGCACAGTAAAAATAATTATAATTAAAAATTTTCTGCAACGAAAGCTAGGGTGCAAGGACTAAAGGTTGTATGACATAAATAAACGCGCCCCCCGTTTCCGATTATCGAACGGCGGGGCGAGGGTGGGGGAAGGGGTGAAAGTATGGCACCCATCCGTCCCTTGTATTCGACTGCAGGGAAGCGTATTCAAAGATATTGTGCCCTGGCCCAATCCAGTTTCTGGCAGCCATCCCGGCGGGTATCAGCCTCCGCGTCGCCCCCGGCGGCCTTCGCCGCCTCTCCTCCCATACCAAAACACGCCAGACTTGTGACCTAGCGTTCTTTACCCACACGCCGTAAACGTTGAACAGCTCAAACTGTGAATTTATAATTGTTATTTTACTTTCTTTGCGCCTTTTAATGAGCGTTTTGTACGAAGGGAAGAAACCAAAGAAGGACAAAAAGTAAGAAAACAATGAAAATGCAAAGAGCTTCGCACAAAAAAAAAAGTGAACGATGTTTGCAATCTGGTACTCACGGTAATCGCGATAGGCTGTGGACACAAGATGGTCACTGACGTAAAAACTTTTTACTAAAAAGATGGATAACGGAAATGATAAGGAATAACGGCGTTTTGGAACTTAATTCTGGTACTTCACAGGCAGCGATATTCAAAATTAACCACGAAATCGAAGAACTCAGCAAATACAGCAGAACAAATGGCTGACTGCGTACCCAGAGCGAACTAAACTCGGCGTGGCGATGTAATGGCTGAGCTGCCGTGCTGCCCCCGCCCGATGGTGGCTGGATTCAGAACCAGCTGCTCTGCCCTAACGGTTTCTTGTTACAAAAAAGAAAGAAAGAATGTAATTGCTCAGAAGGTGTTCCCATAATTTGTATTGTGAGCTTCCAATATTTAGGTTGTTTCTTGCTGGACTACCAATGAATGTTTCACTGTTGTATTTGCTCATACTGAATGTGGCGCTTGAATAGTGGGTAAGTACAATAGATTGTGGAAGCAGGCATGCATAATTACTGTAAATGGCGAGGGCGTTGAAGGCACGGCTGTGTGCAGATACATGATAATTATTAAGTTTCTTCAAAGGAAAGAAAGAACGACGTACTGTGGTCCGAAGTCTGCATAAGGGGAAATTAAGTCAAGTAAGATGCATTTTTAATGACTTAGTATTTTAACATTATTTCAACACCAACGGAAGCAACCAATATTCTTCAATACAGAAGAAACTGCTTCTTAATACTAACAGATGCACGTAACGCTAAGGGTTGCTATTTTATTCGTCTGGACTAAGAACAAGTGTTGCTGCCGATATCTAAGGCCGTAATTGTTCTATCCAAAGCGGGCAAATCCTCTGCTGTTGCGAATATCCTGAATGCATCCCAGCCACTACGAATTGGCGGTGCGGCTATGCATCGCCACCGCGTTGTGGTAACCCTGCCCTTTTCATTGCTTGTGGTCATGGCTGATCTGCCCTTATTTTCTACATACAGTACCTTTAGGTCTTTAACTGATTTTTCAATTTTTGCACGATTCCATCTATGCTACAAACGTCAAATTCTTTTGTTGCTGCACTCACTACCGTTAATAACCTTTGAGAACCAGTAGCAAGAGGTATTTGTACTCGAACTCTGCCCAAAACAATATGCATATGCATATTTTTTTCTAAAAGCAACAATAATTGCATTCCGTAATATTACAGTAATCAATTTTACTGAGTAAAAGAACTTCCGTTACCGCCGTCGCTAAGTTAACCATCACACAGCATCAACAAACAGCAGAAACAGGCGGCCGAATCACAGAGAACATTCGATCTAAATTAGCCGAGGCTCGTGCCGTTCCCAGAATGGATGCCGCGTCTCCCCGTGTGAATTTCGATGCTGAATCTCCGGCGCAGATACTCCGTTGTAAGTATCTCGCCAGTTTCCTGCCATATCATTTTGCCCACTTCGCTGATCAGCCGGGAGGCTTCCGGTCCGTGTGGTCCCACTGTCTCCACGCCCACGGCACGAAAGAGGTAGTCCTGGGTGATGCTCTGGTATTCCGCGGTTTTTTCCGTTCGGCCTGTGCAGCTGCTGCGCAAGCTTGGGTGGATGTTGCTGCGATATGTGAAAGGGCCATCGCACACACACAAGTGCATGTAAACATTTTGCCACGTTCCCATGGTACTACAGTCACTACGTCAGGGCGTTTTGCCGTTGGCTCGCGATATTCCCAGAGACTGGAGTTCTGTCTCTATGGTGGCTGAGGCGAATGTTCGTTCAATCGTGGCGTTTAAACTACTATGTCTTGACTTCCGGCCCCGACTTTTCTTACAGCTCAAGCTTAGTTGCTCAGTTGATAGTTGGCACAGTCATCATACAACTAGATGCGCTTGCAATCACCAGCGAGATCAGCGTGGAAGTGCCCTTGGACAGCCGCTTCTACAATTTCATCATCGCCGGATCACGGTCCCAGCAGCACCCAATGCACGGCTTCTTCAAAATGTATGGTGACATCTGTTTTCCGCTGCGCGGGGCCGGTGATATGGTGGAAATTGCGGGTAATAGGGAGTTGGTGTATGACGGTGTGCAGGAGCTGAAGCGACTGGAGAAAGACTATGTAAGTCGAGTGGCGTGTAAGACCGTTGTTGCTAGTGTGTTAATAGTCGGTTCGTCATTATAATAACGAACGCTGCTGCAGTTGGACGGCGCGTACGTGGAGAACGAGTGCGGCACCAGCCGGCCCGCTTTGGCGAGTGCACAAATTGAGCAGCAGGCGCTGACGAAGGAACGGGCCATCCCGGCAATGGGTCTGCCGGCACCGGAACGGGTCACGGTGGTCACGCGCGCAGCGGCGTCCCGTCAAAACGCGACAGCGCAGCTGGAAGTGAAGATGATGGACGGCGGAAGCGTGGTTCGCCCGTCTTCGGTCAGGCACCAATTTCCCAACAGGCAGCGCCCTCCTCCGACGCGGCCGTGAGTGACGTCATCCAGGAGGATGCTCTGCCGCCATCGGGACCCGCCCACAATGAAGTCACCTTCGGCGCGCCCCAAACTGACACTGAGAAGGACGACGCGGCCCCTGACATCAAGGCGGGAATCGGCAATGTCACAGAGCGAGAATGTAAGTGTGGTAGTATGGTACAAGGCATTAACTTTCGCTGGCACCTAGTTCGTCGCGGGATGTGGTGACGGTGCGATAATTCTGTTAAAATTGCCAGTTAAATGTGAACTATCATGATGTTTTTGCCTGGCTATCTGCAACCGAGAAATCTTACTGGATGAGGTAATCGTGTGCACTGTACTGATACGTCTTACTTTGGCTACGTGACAGATCGTCGTGGGACATTTGGTTTTCCGGACAATTCGTCTAAGGACAACTCACCTTTGTGGCAAATAATCATATGACTGTTCTTTACCATAAACCAGTTGATACTTTTCGACTCTCCAAAAGTCGCTAGACCAAATTTTACACGGCAAACCAGTTGTCCCAAAACAAATTAGCCGCTGCGACGAAAAACGCGTGGCGTAATGTCCCACGATGAAGTGTCCCGCGACCATCTGGGCTGTCACGGTTTACTTATCTTTGCAATGCAGTAGTCAGATGACAGACAGAAAGTTATCGAAATTTTCGAGAACAGCATTATTTTGTAGTTACTCATTGTAAAGCCCTGGCAGTGAGCTGACGACGGGCCAGACGGCAGGCAACGCAGAGCACCAAGCCGAAGTGCCGGCTGCGACCACGCCCGCTGGGCCGCCGGCCAATCCACAACTGGATGCGCCGCCAAACCTCCACACTGGACATCACGCCGTTTTGAAGCCAGTCGCTGGCGAAGAAGCCCCTTCGGCTCCGGCGGCGGCAGTATCCGCTCGCCAGCCACCACCACCGGCGACGGGCATGAGCTTCGTGGCGGGCGTAGCGGATAGCCGCATCATGATGGACCTGCTGTGGAACATGCGAGCGGATAGCGGTAGGCAAGTGCCGGCTATTGGTTCCCCGACGTTTTGCCATCTAGCCGGGATGCTGGCCGGGTTGCGACAGCTCTCCAGTGTCAGTGGACAGTTGGCGACGGTGAGCGATGCAGGCGACAGAGTAGACTACTCTGTGCCCACGACAGCGGCCCATACCGCCGCCTACCTTGTTGACTCAAGCTTAAGTACAAATATCTAGATCTTCGCCAACAGCGGTGATGGCACAGTGGCTGTGCTACGTGGATCTCACTCGGTAGCCAGCGGTTCGATTCCGCTCCATCGCCATTTTGCGAATACCTCACGGAATCGCCCTCCCTTCGCTGAAACCACCACGTCCGGCCGTATTTATGGCCGTCCTCTCTCAGATGCAGGCCAGGGAACAGCAAAGACCGGTTCCCGTCCGCCAGGGAACGGGTCCACCGGCCAGTAGGCAGACGAGCAACTTCCTGGACGGACGTATGGGCACCTTGGTATCGTCCGTTCTTTTGTTCCATCTTTGGTTTTTTTTAAAGAGCGGTAAGCATGCTTTTTTTGCTTTCCTTAGACTCAATGAAATGAATTTATTCACCACTTTCTTCTGTTGTTCCTGACCGTAACCGTACGGGAAAAACGCTTGAGTTGTTGGTTTTTGTGGCTGTGAGGAATTTCTTTGTTTACCACTTTTATAGACGGGATAACTCAGCTACACAGGTGGTCGTTCGTTGAAAAAGGGGAATCGGTTTTTTGCTCGTAGGTAGATGATGTATTTTGGGTAGTTTTTTTATTTTTAATCATGATGAAATTGGTCTGCGGTATTTTGTTTTCGTGTTTTTTTTTATTTTTTATCCTGTACTTTTGCGGGATACATTTGACATTATTTGTAGTTTTGTTAACACGCGCACCTATATTTAGTTCATTTCCGTACTGACGCCAGCTGCTCAACTTTTATTGATTTATTGCACTTACAAATTCTTTTTTTTTATTTTTTTTTTCCTTTTTTCGCTCAGTTTTTCTTACGAAGTATCTGCGCTGCATTTATCAGGAGTGTGACGTATTTCGCGTCTTGATCATTTTTTGTTTATTTTTACACGCGCACTACTAAAATTTCAGTACCTACATGTAGTTGCATGCTCTTACAACTTTCCCCGGCATATGCATCCAGACGCTGTTTCTCGTGGTGCTGAATAAGCAACAGAATTATTAACCAACAGCGTCGATGAAACAGAGTTTCGCAGTCTTTTACCGCCCAGGATTCAGCGGTATTAGGTACTCCTTAGTCGGCTTGTATTTCGTCGTACGCTGAGGAAGGTGAACTTTGAGCTGGTCAGTATATTTTAACATTAAACAGGAAAGGAGAAAGTAGCCTTACAATCTTCGAAGTGGGTTTTCCATATTAGTCAGGCAGACTCGGACTATGCAGAGTACACGGCGCTGATGTTCACTGTCCAGTGACGCTATGCGCACGGGTAGCATTCCCTACGGTCACCGCAGTCCGATGTCGATTGGACTGGATGTCCTGTATTACTGTCCCGTAAATTATAAATTCAAATCAGTACGTGTGAATCGATGCCGCACATCGAGTTTCTTCGAAAAACTGAATCGGCCAAGGGGAATCGTAAATCAGTAATTCTTTTTTTATTTTTACTTCACTTACATGACTGTGTATGAACGAAAAAAGAAAAAGCAACTTTTCCATTTTCAGCTTCAGATAAATCTGTTTCCTGCTGCCTGCGCTTACGGCAAGGTGATCAGAGAAGGTAGTCACTGAAGCCAAAATCGAACTGAACCAATTAAAGCTCGCTACTGCCGTCTGAAAATCAGCACTCTTCGGTAAATCGGTCATTGTGCCAAGACCGGCGTTTCTTTTCACCTGCTAGCCGGCTGTATCCCGGCAGCAGTCCTCCAGCGGGCCGTAAATCTTGGTTATCCGAGGGCACTGTGCGACCGACGAGCAGAGGGGTGTTTCCCTCAAACCCAGATACGGTCTGGGCCATCTGCTTGCTCGGTGAATGCTGCGCAGAAAGCTGTCGTCGATGCTCGTCAGGTTGGGGTTGTTCGTCAAGTCCACAACCTCCACGATGTGCGAGACGAAGAAACCGCTGAGAAAAATCCTCTGGATATTGTTGTTTGTCAGGTCAATCGTCTGCAGAAAACATCCCAGCCCATTAACGCAATAACTAAAATTAAATTTATTTAATAAGCAAGTAATTTATTTTAATAAGCAAGTAGATTTACTGTAATGCAAGGAATAACGCAATTTTTTTTTCTCTTGTTGTTACTTGATGCATTAATTTGTAATGCCAAAGCGCCACACATTCCGTACCTCGACACTTCTCGTCAGCGGTTTGAATACATTCCAATCAAGCATCGTGATATTGTTATAGGTGATGCTGAGCCGAATCAGTTGCGGTAAATCTGACCGACCGTCCACGACGCTAAATGCATCAGCGTCAATGGCTGACATGCGGTTGGCCGCTAGGGCCAGTCCCCGCAGCGCCGTCATCCCGGCAAAAGTGCCCCGCGTGATCCTGGGCAAAAAGATGCGAGACAGCGTTAAAAATTTCAACGTCGACCGCACATTGAGTAGAAAGCGGGCGACGGGAAACGGCCGGTCATTGGGCGCCGCCCAGATATTGTACAATCGCACTTTGGTCACGTTGTGACGGTGGGGAAGGGGCGCGAACGTGTCCAGCAGACAGCTGGGTGTGCACAGCCCCGTCCACGAGTGCCGGTCGCCCAGCTCGATGACGGTGGCGTTGAGCGGGATGGCGCTGAGATTGACTGCCGGTACATCGCATCCGCAGTACTGCCACTGGGAATTGCAGCCAGAGAAGACGTAGTGCTCGCAGGGCCTCACGTTCGTCGGAAGACTTAAGGACACCGCGAAGAACAGAAGGCAGCGCGAATAGCTGAAGACCCGCAATCGGTACATCGTTTTTCGATTGGATTAACTGATAACTGACACTCGTTGAATGCAGTTTTGCGTGCGCTCGCACTGGTTGTTCATGCGCTTGAGGCGCTCACTTGTTTTATTTATGCACTTTATGCCGGAGGTGCTTGCAGATCTCCACAGACGAAGAAGTTTCTAGTAACGACGAGCTGCAGACGTGCAAAACAGCAAAATGATGTACTTACACTAAAAGTAATTTATAAGGTAGTAAATAAATAAGCTTTCCGGAAAATAGCTTCCGCAAACGCCAGTACGCGATGAGACGGCAAATTCCATGCCGGGAGAAACGAGAAAGAGCATGCACTGTTTCAGAATCCGAAGGGAATCGGTACAAACAGCAGGCAGTATAAGTGCCTGAAAAGCGTTAGAGGATGCAACGTCTTTTGATTGGCATAATGCATTACCAAGAGACAGCGCTTCCTTCGTGCGCCGTCACATTAATACTGTAATTATTCTGTTGAAGGAAAACTGACCTTTGATTGGTATCACACGTAAGTATAAACTGTTCTGCTTATACAGTCTGTACGGCTATCAATTAAGACGGTCAGTGAATTTTTCTTTTTTTGGCCGGAGGCGTTCACAGACTTTGATGAAGTGATAATTCTTCACGAGTGATCCCGTGTGTGATAGTAAAGCTGGGAGCCCGAATGTAAAACCAGCTGTGTAAGGAGACGCTATGTGTCATGTAAGCAAAACAATTTTTAAGAACCGGTTCCTGGTTAACGTTACCGACCCCAGCCAGGCTGTATTTCCGTCTGTTTATGACTAGTCGTACTACGTACTGTACGTAGTACGTACGTACAGTACGTACAGTACGTACGGATGAAATTTTCTTGTTGTAATTTTTGTGTTTCTTTCTTTATTTTGCCGTAAGTTTGTTTTGACCAGTAAAGTTGCCATTTAGACGTCCACTCTAATGTACGTTTAATGTAATAAAAGTTTGCTAGGTGGTTAAACTTAAAAGATGGATAAGGTTTATTAATTTCGTAGAATGGAAGCTATGTAAGATACATACAATAACAAGCCGGCGCTTTCTAAGCCGAGTTAAGGTGGCTAAAATGACACGATGAAGTACTACATAGATTATGGTCAGTCTGTTTGTCTGATTTTCCTTCAGTTGCAACCAACTTTTTTGGTGGTTTACTCTGCAGTACTGTATATCTAACTGTCGTAATTAGCGGTTTATTATTAATTTGCTGGATGTTTCCGGGCTTGTTTGTTTTCGATACGTGAAGTTACGCGAGCGCTACAACGTGCGCATTATCTGTATTATCCGCAATTTCCCACAGGTAGGAGAAGACGTGATTGTCGTTCTCGTCGTCCAGGAAGTGAATGTCAAGACAGACACCCAACGGATGCGGTACGAATTGGTGAGAATTTAGCCGGCGTGCGAATTATCTTTCTGGCTGCCAATTGGGTTGGGAACTAGTCAGCTGACTCGTGATTATCACAATCGTGATACCGTTAAAGCAACTGCTGATGTAAAAAACCGGTTTAAGGAAAAGCTCTTTTTTCGCCTGGTACGAGTTGTGTGCTTTGTCGTTAATATTATCGACCTGAGTCGATAGATCTGCTTTACTTAGTTGCACATAGAAAGAAGTACAACGCAGCTCCGGCCAGGCACAGGAGGTCTCATTTTGGGCCCGCACTACGCAGAGAATATCTTCCCTGTTATCTTGGTAATCTTGCGGTTTGGCAAAACGTTTATCGAGCGCGTGCGTATCCGCCTATGACTTCGTATCATTCCAAAACTTTGACCCACCATTCTTCGCTACGTGTTCCTGTTATTCCCGGCGCCGACGCGTATTCCAGCGGTATTCGTTCATGGTGTGTCTGTATTTCTCCTCGTAGTGTTTTAGTTTTTCTTAGATTTTCTTAACTCAGAATTTCGATGGAATACCGGGAGACACGAATACTAAGATTTATGAATACGTATCGACAAATACCGGGTCGCATTTTTGGTACGATACGAAATTGTCCATATATCACATTTTCTTGGATAAGCAAAACAACGAGAAACCTAAGAAGTAGCTTTAATTTCAATCCAAGAACGCATTTGGAAGTAAAGCGTCGGTTAAGGAAAAGACTGCGGGAGACTGTCGGCTAACAATTCGTCAGAAAAGCGAAAAGTCGGAAAGCGAGGTAGATGCAGCGAATTTAGCTCGTGACAAACCAGAAAAACGCATACAACTGGACAGATAACAAAGAAACTGTTCCCACATAACAAAAGTTGCCAGTATTGTACAGTTTCTACATTATACAAATAAGCTCATCGAAGCCACCGTCATCACAAAGCGGTAATTTGTACGGTCACGACTCACGACTTAAGGAAAAGAGTGAAAAAATAACTTAATCCATTCCATTTATAATTACTGTTCGCATCAGACCTGTGCAGTTGGTTTGAACTTAACGCCAACTATTTTCAAGTTATCGTGGTTCGCATCGATGCCAGTCATACAGCTTCTAAAGGCCAACCCGAAGTTCCGGTACACCCGTCACTATCGCTCGTCCTGATCCTGCTGACCGGCGTCCAGTCAGTTCCCCTGCGCACCGGAACAAGGCGCTGGCGATTCCTGGCTCGCCTCGTTCACCGTGGCCTGTGGTCCCTCGCCACTGGGCATCCGTCGCATCCCGGCCATCACACCGATCACATAACAGAACAGCGGGGAACCCGCCGGCGGCACTTGGCCGCTGCTGCCCGCCGCCATGTTCCGCATCACCTCCCTGACAGCGCGGCTGTCCTCCAAACCAGCGGCGAAGCCCATGCCCAGCGCCAGCGGTGGTTGCGGGCCGGCCAGTGCTTCGGGTACCGGCGCCTGCGGTGGCTGCTGAGAAAGAGGGATGCCAGATGAGGCCGCCGCTGCGAGCGGAGCGACTGCCGGCTTTCCGTTATCCAAACCAGTCGGTGGCACTGTGGGGGCGGGAAGGTGCGGTGCGGGTGCAGCCGGCATTTCCGCTTGGCGCTCAGCGTTCTTCACCGTCTGATCACCGGCCTTTTCATGTTGCACATTTCGCTTGCGGCCAGTGATCTTCTCCTTTCCGACTTTAGCCGCACGGACGACGGTCTCATTCTGGCCGAATCCCGAAGGAGACTGTATGGGCGGCGGGCTGCCAGCGTCCAGGATGACCACGCTGCTGCTGCGCTCCCGGGCGCCGGTGCGGTAAGGCGGCGTTCGTGGTACGTTCACCCGACCTTCGACCTCGTTGGCCTGTCAGCAACAATTACGCTGTAGCCGCGCGTTCAAAAAATGTGTAATAACGTCGTGCTTACCCTCTCATCCTGTGTCTTCGTGATCGAAACCGGCGACGCGGGATGATTTGCCGTGACACAACTGAGAGTAGTGGCGCCGTCGATTGCCTGCTCTGGGGAACTAGTACTGCCACCGCCATCTGTCTCCTGACCGCTTAAATCGATCAGCATCGTGTCACGCTGCGGCGCGACGACCCGCTTTATCGCCGTCTGCTTCCTTGCCATCAGCGGCGCCATGCCGTTCTTCTTGGCCAGCGGAAGCTCCGCTTCTGCCTGCACCGCGCTGCTACTACTACCCGCATCCGACGCCTGGCGGCGGTGCTGACGACGCTTTCCTGGCCCGCCGGGAGGCGGTGAACTATCGTCCTTGGAATCATCCTGGGCGTATTCGCCAGGAAAATTCTCCTCCAACCACACCGTAGTGGCCGCTATGTAAAAGGCGTTAACGTCCGCTTTGATTCTCTTGTACTTCTTGGCCACCTGGTGGCCTTCTTCGCCCACTCCATCCAGGTATCGCCAGCCGCGGTACATGCACTCATCATCCGCGTCGCTACTGTCGTACTCGTCGTGCGTCCAGGCGCGGAAGTACGGCAGCTGCACGACACCGGTGTTCCGGCGTCCATCATGTTCCCACGGCGCGGAGCCCCCGCGTTGGATCGTCTTCCCGTCCTCCTCATACACGCGGTACCGGGGGCACTTGTTGGGCCAGCGACACAACAGATAATCCTTAAAGTAGCGCGGATTCTGCCGCCATTTCTTGCAGGGTTCCTGGCCCCGGCCGGTGGTGCAGCCCAGCATGTGCGCCTCACAGTATTCCTTGGTCCAGAACTGCCGGTCCATGTCGTCGCAATACGGGCAGTAGTAGAACAGGGCCCCTTTGTCGACTGTCCGCTGGGCCATCGCCTCCTTTGTCCATTTTTCCTGCAAAAACCTCAGATGATCCACCAGTCGCATATTCTCTGTTAAATTTTTCAGTTGGTTAGCCTGTGGGTTCTTCTCAGTGACGGAGCGACTAGTACGTTACGAATTTTCAATTATTACCGTAATAATCTATCCTACCGGCCTTACTCAACGGCGAAGTATGAGCCCACAATCATAATAATTATGCATAAGCTACGATCTACGCGAAGCGAGAATCTGACACTCACTGCATCCCGATGACAAAAATTAGTAATACAACTCCGACGACTGCCAACCTCCGAATGAAAAAACACAAGGTCCAAAAGTACTGCCACTAACGGACTTATAAAGGCGCATGGCGCATCCCGTTAGAAACTTAAAACTCAACCAAAATATGTACCATGGGAAATTAATACTCTTTAAGAAAATAATTTTGAGACGAGCTATTACTTGCACTAACACGAAAACCTAAACCAAAATATCAGCAGGAATAATCATACAGTGTTATTTGGTTTAAAAATTAATACACTATTAATTTATATCTTTTAATTTTGCATGCTGTTTCATGTGCCGTTTCTTATGTTTGGGAGCCGAACTAAACAAAAAATATACTAGGTGTTTGAACTCTACTGTTCTGCACACAGCTTCAATATGGGAGCCATCCTTGATGCAAACAAGATGCGATTTCGTATGTGCAGCCTTCGAAATTTACGGACCTTATGGAGACGGTACTAAAAAGCTATTGGAAACGGTGTAGCGCCTTCAACTGGCCAAAAGCGGGCGAAAGGGTTTTTTAAACAGCGAATATGAATGCAACTACAAGGGGAAACGCGATTTGTGCAATGGG